CAAGCTTAGCAAAAGCATCAGGGACCGCGGTTCAATCCCCCAGCACCACATGCCAGCCAGCCCGCCCCCTGGTGGGCTGAGCTGGCCTCTCTCTCTCTCTCTCTCTCTCTCTCTCTCTCTCTCTCTCTCTCTCTCTCTCTCTCAAATAAATAAATAAATAAATAAGGTGATATCTATAATTGAGTGTGGACGGTCACTGACCATTAAGCATTGAATTTTCTTGATTCACAGTACAGAATCAGAAGGAGCAATTTAATTCAACTTTGGGGATGTAGATTAAGAGGTAACTAAAACTTTTAATGGTATCTTGGAAGTATTTTATTCCCCAATTGAACTAATTTGGGCCACTTCTGAGAGTGTGCCAATGTTCTACAAAGGAGTTACTTGATTCCACAGGGAAACATCAATGCTAGATTTAAAAACTCATTACCAATAATTAATTATGAACTCCATCTAAACAATAACAGGTGTTCCACTAATCCTAAATAGAAGCAGATGGAAGCACGAATGTTTTGTAAATAGTGGAAACACGCAGAGCAACAAACTTGGCTTGTTTCATCCTCTAAGTGTTAATCGTAGTCAATGTCTTCTCCCTCACATTTTCTCTAGATTCCCAGATTACGTCTATGTCTCTCACTCCTAATCTTTGGTACTGCATGTCATACATGCTATGTCATTGCATTTTATGCATTGCCCCACTGACAGGGACAGCACTTGGGAGCTTCCTTTGGTGCATTTAGAAAACATCACCATGCGTATCCTCCTCCTTCTCCCCTCTTCCCTTGTCACACGTGGGCCAGTGATGCTGGTGTGAATATAGTTCCCCTTCTTCCACTTTCAAAATGATGGCTGCACAAGGACAAAATAAACTAAAGACATTGACGAATCAGTAATGGGTATGAAGCAATTAACTTCATATAACTCAAAATTATCTTCAGGAGTTGGAATATTCCACAGAGCTCTAGGCTTGAGTCCAGACATAGCTTCAGGGCCTTGAATGTGCTAGGCAGCGCTTCACTACTCAAGCAAACTTCCAGCTCTAAGTCCCTGACTTTCCTGAGTGCGTCCTCAGATGTCTTGTGAAGCGTCCTCACTGTGGCCATTGGTGAAATCCTCCATAAGTCCCAAACAGGTGGTTTTATTCTTTTCAATCTTCAGCTATTTGGGTTTTTTTTAAAGACAGAATCAATTGGTAACTGTGACTGTTAAACAGCTCATATCCTAAACTAGATTCCACTCTGCATGTTTCCCTTCCTTTTAAGAGCTATATTTTACTAACTAAATTCTGTGAATAATTTCAGTGACACAAACAACCACTATTTTCTTAAACAATGAAATGTAAAAGCTAATAAAGTATATACAAAAGAATGCAGGCTAGTCCTTAATATTTCGTGCTCATTGGTAATTCAGATTGCACATCACCAGTCAGTCAATCTTAAAAAATGACGTAGAGAGAGTATGACTTTCTTAAACTATGGCAGCTAAACAGAATGGGCATCAGCTCTTCGAACAAGTTGAATCTGTGGCACATATGGACCACAATTTGTTAACGTCAAGCTCCCTTCACCTGGGCCACCTATCCAGACAGACTTGCAAAGGCAAGTAAATCACAAGTAAATTTTCAATGACACTTCGTTGTATGTCAGCAATGCCAATCTGTGACCTCCATGTTAAATGTAGGTGCTTGCAGATCATAACTGGCTCTGTCAGGTGAGATACCATAATTTTAGTCTTAGTTTCTTCATTTCCATCTCCAGCTCGTTAAAAGTAGAAAAAAACAAAGAGGAGGAAAAGTAACAGGAGAAGAGGAAGAAAAAAAGAGGAAGAGGAGGAAAAGTATACTGTCTAACAGAATAAGTTACTGACATTAAGATTTCAGAGAGTGAAGTTTCTGCTGATATTATACATTTGTAGGATCTAGATGTGTCATACGTTTGCCTCAGACATGATCTGCTTATTTGCTAATGTATACATAAAGTGTAAATATATATTTATACGTATTCTTTTGATACAGGGTCTTGCTACACAGCTCAGACTCATAGTGATCCTACTGTCTCAGACTCCTCAGCACTGGGATTATAGGTGCATGCCACTATACTTGGTTCCAGGGCTGCACAGCATGCTTAGGATTCCAGGACCAGCAAGGCCTAGTGTTCTGGGGATTGGACTTGTGTATTTATATATATCAGATGGACTTCCAAAATACAGTTAAGGAAACACAGTATAATTTTCTCTAAATAATAAGCTTCGATTACTCTAATGTAAATCAGCTCCTTCCTTAATGACACCATCTTTGTAGAAACATTTTCCCAAATATGGACATGAGTTCCTTCAGGTTTTTACTCTGCAAAAGGCATAAGTCAAGCAATCAGATTAATTACTTAAACCAAGTCTGCTTCCCCATTGTGTGTATAACCAGCACTAAAGCTGACTACTTCCAGCACAGAACTCTGGGGGGACCAAAGATAAGAAATTCTGAAGCTTTGGAGAACGGAAATAAGTATAGGAAATGTGAATGATTAAAATAGATTTTGTTCACTACTCGGATAAGATGGATACTTCCATTGTCCAAGGTCTTTTTTCTACTTTTACTAGGAATAAAATAAGATATTCGCTCAAAGATATTAGCATTTTTACATATAAAGACATTAGCACGTTCTGGCTTTCAGCTGGCTTCATTTGCAATAGGCCATGCAATGGCTGAAAGTGAAATGAAAGGCCTTCATGCCAGTTATTATTTCTGCTTTTTATTGGCTTTCTTCTAGATCAACACATGCATTATGCAAATTTTTAAAATGAAAATACTGTTTAGTACACAGAAAAGGCCAACAAAGACAGTTAAAACAGACAATGACAAGAATTGCTTGGAATACCTGGTTTTAAATCCCCATGGACAAACATGTCAATCATATATCGACAGAATGCATACTGATCTGATGGGACAGAAAGAGAAAAAACAATGAGAACAAGGCATCACCAGTTTTCTTTCTTCTACGTTGAAATGGTTCACAAAACACCAAGTAGCACATTTCTGTTTTGCTTACAACATACTTTCTGGGAAGTCATAATACACATTCACATGAGCGCGCAGGGGGAATGATGCAGTGCAGGTGCCGCTCAGTTACCCCACGAGAAACAGCCTTCGAAGTGGTTGAGTCCAGGGAGCATAACGATGGCTGACTTTAAAAATCAGACCATTTTTCATCAAATTTGCTACAAAAGTCATCATATTAAAGCAGCTGTTTTCATTTGTCCCTTTATAGACTTACAGTAATGAAACAAGTTTTACAATGAAACATTTTGTTTCAGCTTGCAAGATTCTATCATTCACTTCTAGAGTCTCTACTAGGTAAGAGAAACTGCAGAATATTTTCAATGGACCTTCAGGAGGACAAACCCTTTCATGACCTCTTTGATGTATTCTGCATGGAAATCTATTTAATTGGAAGAGTGAATCAGGAAAAACCAATGAATAGTAAATTGTATCATCAGTAAGTTAATTAGCTAAGTCATCTAGAATTACTTTATGATTTCTGACTACTCCATGGCTGATGAGGAAATGTTTTAAAAACAAAATGAACATTCTGCAGTAAATGTTTGGGACAGACACTGTCAAAAGTAGTTTCAGGAGTGGGATAAATTTTCCTTTAAATTAAAGACCTTGCTCTGAACTTGAATTCTCACAGAACTTGAGAATTTTTCTGTGGTCTCCATTGATAAAGATTCCATTGCAAAATTCTTAGAGGATTCTCTTAAGTTCTACCAGAGTTTACATTATCCATTTTATTTTCATATGCCTAAAATAGATATCATATTAAACCACCAAATCCAAAGGTATCTTTAAGACCAAGAGATTTTATTGACTTTATACAACATTACATAATTTAATTGCTTCAAAATACATCTATCAAACAAGACATAACAGCATTTATTACTATATAAATACACATTCAAGGATTTTTGTCAGCCTCATTCTTCTTAGAACACTAGCATCATTTGCAACCAGTTATTATGCCAGGTCATTGGAAAAACAAGTAATTATTGCAGTAGATTTAAAGTACCGTTTTCACTACACCCAAATGTAAGGGAAGCCCCTAACCTCTCAAAATGGGTATGTATTTTGGATGTTAAAATATAATGCAGTTTCCCACAGGAGAGTTGGGGAGTGAGAGGAATTCTGGCCCTTGGATGACTCCGAGACTCTACTGGCTTTTTCCAGCATTGGCAGCCATGGCTACAGTTTCAGATCCCACGACCTGAGTTAGCTGTGGTGTGTGGGAAGAGAAAGACTGACGTAGCTGCTGGTCTTTTCTTTGCTGGGTAACATTTTCCTCTAGAGTGGGTGATTTTGTTCGAAGACAAAACATGATGAAAAGGACATTGTTCTTAAATGGAAAATGAAATCGGACCGGTGTGACACTGTTGGCCTTTCCTCTCTGTTTCAGCACTGTAAGTGAGGTTCCTTTAATCTTGTCATTCATATAATTCAGGAGCATTTCTTAAATGGTGCCTGCACATCAGGAAGCGAAAGTATGTCAGGACCCAGGCATATGGAATCCTTCATCCAGAAAATTATAATGCTGTGGGTCTGGAGGGCAGAAATACGCATTTTTAGCAGACTCTCCTACCTGCCTAATTCCACTACCTGCACAGAATCACTGGTGTAGAACCCTTCAGGTTTTGTTTTTTTTTTTTTAGAACAGTGATTTCCAGTAAAACTATAGCCTTTTGGGGCAGTGAATGAGGCCTTTTGTTTTTATACATGTCTAAAGTTTAGAATGCAATTATATTTTGCAATACAAAGGATTTTACCAACTCCTAAAGGAAAATAGTGTTCTGTGCCCCAGTTGTGATGGGTGACAGATCGGCTGCAACGTTGAACAGTGCATCCAATTAGCTAAAGTTACCCTTCTGCTTCCTCTTCAACTGAGTATTCAAATACAGCAAAACCTTTAAAGTTGCTAGGAATTTTTCTAAAGGACTGTGCTTATATTTATTACCAGTACTTTATGGGTCCAAAACTCATTCAATTTATTGATGCACCAGCAGTCCAATAAGACTCTAACTTGTAAAAGGAAATCCTGTGTGAATTGAAAGAACTTTTTGTTTTTTCTAATCTGGAAAAACAGAGTTTCAACACTAAATGATTTGGTTCTAGTAAATAATCCTGTGGTCCTGCATAGTAATGTCACCAAGATGTCTGAGAGGAATATTTAAAAATCTTTTCAATGAAGAGAGTCAAGCTATTTTAGGTTAGGATATGCTTCCCAGCTGTCACAAGGGTGTAGCTTAGTGATGTGTAAAGGTTCTAGAGAGGTAGTCATCAGTGAAGCCCCAGAGCCTGCTTCCCCTGCATAAAGCGGGAACAAAACTGAGCCTTCCCCACTTGGGAATATTTTGCTTTCTAGAAATGCTTCTTTAAAACCATCTCAAATGGTATAGCAGGAGACTTTTTCTAGAGGCCTGAATTACCTCATCAGCGTAGCTCCCATAGTTAGGAAACAAGACTTTTAATAAGGTGATTGCCTACGTGGTCATCAAAATAAGTACTTTGTTTCTTAAACAAGCACTCTTTTCAGGACAATCTGCACTGTCCGGGTCTCCTTTTCCTGGTCCTCAGCTGCTGCTGGGCTCCTGCTCGGTGGAGTGGCAGCTTAAGGAAACTGCATCTTGGGTCCAGAATGTTACCAGGAAGGAAGTGTTGAAAAGAACTGCTACTGAGGATGCGAACATGTGGTCTGTGGTCTAAGGAGTACTCTCGCTAGGTACTCTTTCTCTGCCTGTTACAAAAGTATAAATAAACATGAAGGAAAGAAAGAAGGAAAGAAAACAAAATGGGCACTGTGCATACTGGCTGGGCAGGGCTGGGCTGTCTTTTGCCTTCTCCACAGACTACCAGAAACTACCAGCAGGAGGAAACAACTCCGTTCAGGCCAAAGCTTTTGACCAGAAAAAGTTTAAATTGGTCCATATACACTTGGCTATGTGCTACATGAGTGCTCGTAGGCTTATGGCAGGATGCAGGTGTGTCCACGGCTTATTCGCAAAGCTGAGTGTGTTTATCTACCTGCTGTCTAATTAAATGGTTATCAATCTGTGTATCTCGTGTAGGTTTACAAATGAGTGACAGACCTATGGCCCCGTTTGTTGAGACGAACTGTTTACAAAGCTACATAAAGAGCAGACTTGAAACTCATTAGACCTCGCTGAAGCTAAGCAAATCACAATTTCCTTGACCAAAGAATGAAATCAATTTTGCTAAGCCATTCACGCAAGAATCTCAAGCAAGAAACCACCTCACACCATTTTAAAACACCATAACTCTATCGTGTTTATTTAAATATCATATTTTAAAATTAATATATGCTCTTAAAACTTTCCTTAGAAAAGCAGCGACGTGCTCATGTCTGACCAGGCACTCTCAGTTAAATTTTTGTGACTTATCCTAATGCTACATTATTTAATTGTTGGTAACTTTTCTTAATAGGGATTCTTGTTTAATAATAGCATTTGCTTAGCTGATAAAAATCTTATTTATACATTTGTTTATAACTATATGTGACATTGAATATTTCTAATAGATAACTAGTTTTCAGGTAGAAATAAAAACAAAATTTAAAATGAAATGACAATATAATGCTATCATTAATGCATTTGATTACTGCTCAGAATAAAATACAGTATTTGTGATCTGGAAAATAGATATTATTTGAAATATCCAAGTGACATGCTTTATCAATAAAATTTGTTCTGGGTGCCTTGAAATCACTAGTAATAAACATACAAAGATGCGTTTATGTTGTGCCCAGTTACTATACAAGTATTTTGATATTCCTGTACATAACTGGCACACAATTTTATATGTTGTATTTGGAGATGAAAAAATTACAATATACTTTGTGCGTTTTAACGTGATTATTTTTCTTCCTTAAAGGGCAATGTGAAATGCAAAGTACTCTATGGTCAGAAAAACATAATACTGAATCGTAAGAGTGCTTTTCCTGTTTTCCATTGTACTAAAATGTTCCATTCAAAAGAAATTTCAGTTTATTTACTATGTCCTTTTCTATACAAGCTACTCCAAATGTGACATACTTTGAAGAGATAATTAACTTTTAATTTTTTTCCAAGACTATATAATTATCTGGAAAATGGAAGAAAACCTTACTGCTTAACTTTAAATGCACTCCTCAAGCACGAGGTCGGGATAAATGCAAGTCACCTAAATTAGAATTTGTGACTCATCAAAAGGAAACAGGCTCTTTCCTCCTTTCTTTGTTCTATTTTACAATTTATATTTAAAAATATCTTTTTTCATATGGATCAAAGTTTACAAATATTGTTAATTGGAGGGAAAAGATAAAAATACAAATAAATAATTATGAATTACAAGAGTAGATTGCAAACTGATAACATGTACCTTACAACGAAGAACAACGGCCAGCTTCACTGTCCCCACGGCTGGCTCAGTAACAGTGTATTGAAAGGCTTTAATACGAAGCTCCCAGGATTCAGCTCCTTGACCCTGGCCCTCCAGTCAGATTATTCAGTTGATGCTAGAGCTTGAGAAACTTTTACTCTGCAGCAGCTACACAAAACATTATTTATAGGAGCCGTGTGCCCCAGTTGGGCTCCCTGGGCTAGGCGGACAGTTGTGGGGCGTGTCTACCAGGACTCGGGGTGCCCTTAGCAAAGATCAGCATGGTCCAGGGGAGAACGACAAAGGCCCTCATGACCCCTCAGGACACCCCGCTCCTTTGTAGCTAGGGAGCTCCCTTCCTGGGCTCTACTCCACACCATCCCCACGCCACGTGCTGGGCACTGTGGGTTTCAGACATCACTCCCGCTAAAGAGCAGCTCACGTCAGGGGCAGTGCTCTGAAGTCACTGATTTTGTCAGTGAAAACTGTCACTGACTGAACCCTCAAGTGCTTTTCTCCATAACTTGGTATTAAATGAATTTTAATTTTTAATAAGACTGTTATTAAATTAATTTGATGCATATTCTAAATTGTAGGCTCCTGTAGAGATGCAGGAATGCACACAAGATGTTTCTGGGTATTTCTTCTCTGGGACTGGCACACAGGCTCCTCAACACACACACTGAGAACTGCTGTCTTCCCTGGAGCGCTTTTGTTCCGACAGCATGACAGCCACCACGGCCCGCTATTTCACCTCTTCAGGAAGTCTCCACCCCAGAAATTCAACATTTATCACCAACATTTAAATAGCCCCCGACACGAATTCAAACCCTGTTTTAAAAATATTTGAAAATATATCTTTACCTACGAGAACCCATGGTAGTGTTTCTATAAATTTGTATTAATTCCCAGCGGGTTGCGCTTCGGGTCCAGCATATTTACTCGCATAAAGCTTTGCCCGCCTTGTGCAGCTCTCAGTTCCACTGCATGTGCTTCTTGCCGGAGACACTCTTAGCTCCTCGGGCTGCCTCCTCCTGAAAGTGTTTACCTGTCTGATCCTGCTGGGGCGCGGCGGGCTCCCTGCCGCCCTTCTCCCGAGGCTTCGGGGAGGCTCTCTGCCCGTCTTTCACCTTGGCCGGCAGCTTCACCTTCTCCTGCTTCACACCTTTCACTTCCTTCTGCGTCTTTTCCTCGGTCTTCTCTTTAGTCTTTGCTTTCTTGTCGTCTGCACAGAGCAAGGAACATTGGATTACTTGTCCTTTCTTCTATAATTGTCCTTAAATCCAGTTTTACATTTATTTATTTATTTTACGTATTCAGTACTGTGTAGTCTGATCTCTCTACACAGATCGGACTCATAGTGATCCTCCTCTTTTCAACCTCCCAATGCTGGCATTACAGGAGTGTGCCACCACGCCCAGTCTCAGTCGCTGTCCCAGCAGGGCCGGCACGGCACACCAGGGATTGAACCCAGGTCGCTACGTCTGTTTAAGCAGGCGCTCTAATCTGCTGAGCTATCTGGCCGGCCCCTTAAACCCAATTTTAAAGAGAAAAACAATGTAAACCCAGCACCTATGGAATGATTTATCAGGTTCATGCAGTTTATGAAATACTATGCTAGGTTTAGACCTTGTCTTAGAAATAGGGCTTTTAAAATTTTTTTCAAGTATTTAACTTTCTAATCAGTTTATGTTTCTGATACACAATTATGCTCCTCTTGGGGCTCACACATATCTGTACTGCAACTTGCTTATTTTACTTTCTCTACCCCGCAGCCTTCCTCTCTCTTCCCATCCCATCTCCAGAAATCTATTTTTGTCTTTTTTCATTTGTACATGGAAACATTGATTTGGTATGATGTTTTAAAAATTACAGGCAGTGAGGAACTCAGGCTGGCACGAAGAGACTTCTGTGACGTGCAACGGCATGCACATGGGGTCTTAGCAGAGCACCCAGCGAAAGTGTCTCCTTTTGAGGGAATCGTGGTACCACTTCCTTTGTAAGGACCAGGCCCCACCGAAGGCTCCGCTGCTGTGAGCCCCGTGGATCTTGCCAATTGCAGTGGTACCTCTTATTGAGACTCACAGTAAAGGATTTCATGAAGATACTATGGTCCAATTTCTTGAGTTTGGTGCAGACTAAGCCAGGATCGTATTGGGATGGGACAGGAAGAGAAACACAATAACCATGTCCGATCTCAGTGGGTCTGAAAGCCCAGAGTCATTTGGAGCACTGTACTAAATGTACCTGGCTGACACACCGTTGTACTCAGAGACTGTCTGGACAGATGCTACTGCAGAGGTGTCAGGAGTTATTCTCACCACGAAATAAAATTTGAGATGCCACTAGTTTCCTCACTAGAGGATTTTTGTACAGATAAGGTGTGCTGAGAGTCTTCAGGGAGGGGTACAATGCCACGTGCCCTGTGCAAGGTCATAGGAATCTCACAGAGCTACTACCCATCTCACAAGTTTCCAGTAACTTCTGTGATTATACTGAGGGGATTCTCTTCCACTGCTGAGAAGCCATTGCTGAATAACCTTGCCTTCTTTCTGCCTTTCACTATGTCAAATCCCTACATTTCTGTGACTGCAAAAAAGAAAACAGTCAGCTTTCTGAGGATAGCTTCCAATCAGCATTTCATCTCCCCACCGGGAGAGCTTCGCTGCTGTCCACATAGAGAGAGTCTTCTGCTGGGGCGGCCAGGAGCACTGCAAGTTGTCCCACTTGTACACATGCACCCCAGAAAGCCCGCCCCGAGGATCATCTCGGTTAGTCTCATAGTTACTTGATAGAGCTCTAGAATTCAGAAGAATCCTAACGACCCAGCATGCACATGCTTCTGTAGCACTGAAAACCTGCAAGGCCTGCTTCCCCAGCATCTCAGACGTTGTCAGGGTGCTGGGCAGCGGCAAATGGGAAGTTCTGCAGTCTCCGAGTTTTTGATCTACCTGCATGCCACAATACCCACTGCATGCAGAAAATGGTTCTGATGTTGGAATTCACCACTCCTCTTCCCCTCGGCTTCCACTGGCCTTAACTTTGATTAAAGCTGACATTTTGCTCTTTTCTGTATATCTAGGATTATAGATCATTGTTCATCTCTCTGCCTTTCCTACCAGCCTCTGAGCAACTTGCAAATAAGAATTCTATTAATCGTTTTTGTGTCACCATTGTGTCTAGCACAGTGCATTATTTTTCAGAACTAAAAAACAAATTAAGTATATATTGAACTACCTATTTTGATCAAAGAGTAAATTTTCCCTATACTGTGTTCATGTGTACAGTAATATATGGGTGGCATATATCAGCAGAAATGTTCAGAATGAATTTTCAAGTCAGACACATGTACCAGGGTAGACTTGGAAAGACCTACTGCTTTGCTGGGAGAGTCTCCAAGAGGTTCTGGCCATCTCTGGCCTTGGGCAGATGGTGTTTGAAACAGAACAGAAGCTATCAGTGAGCAGTAGTACATGGCAGGGGTGACTGGACGAGAGTTGGGGGAGTCCTCTGCACGAGACCCTGACCTCCGTCACACCTGCTTCTTCACTCTTCTGCAGGCAGAATGAAGCCAGCTGTCATGTCCAGGAGATGCATGGGCAGGGGCTGAGGCCTCACCCACACGGCCGCTGAGAGCTGGACTTTACCTACAGCCACGTGCATGGCTTTGGAAGGGCCTTTGGGTGAGCTTTCAAATGACGCTGCAGCCCCAGGTAAGGGCATGGCTGAAGTTCAGTGAGAGATTGTGGAGCAGAGGACTGAGCTGACCACGCGCTGACGCTGGAGCCATGGACACTGCCAGATGTGGTGTCCTGTGATCTGTACTTCCAGGTCTGTGGTGGTGCTGTAGCTAGCTAGAAGCAATCAGGGCAATTTTCAATACACTCTCATTGAATGAAGAAATGATACTTGCAGCCTTATACAACTCTGACAAGAATTGTTGATTAAAATTTAGGTCACCTAAATTTTCTATATGTTATATATAGTTTTTTATATAGTTATACGATCATGCCTATTTATTTTCTCTGGGGTTCAGATATACCATTTGTTAAACTTAGTAATTAATCTATACAATTAATAAAATTCCTATTAGCACTTAGATTTCATATGTACATGTATTCACAAACATATATATATATATATATATATATATATATATATATATATATATATAGAGTTTTTATGTACATAATAAGAGATTCGGATAGAATAAAATGGCACTGATTTAAGTATAAATTTAGTCTTGTAATGAAATTCATGTTACCTTCCCTAAAGCCTCAATGTATAATTCATACATTTTAACTTCAATAAAATATTTGGTTTTCTTGTGATAAAACTTTATTTGAAATACATGTGATTCAAATGTCTACCATTCTGCATTTTGTGAATAGTCGCTGAGTTTTCAAAGTGATTTGAGTGTGTTCAGTCATGGTATCAGAAGTGTATGGATCACACACAACATACATTTTCAAATATGAGGAAGACATTTGCATGTAGAGGATAAGATTGGATTATCAGTTAAAATCCACACATTCTCACTATTTAAGAAATGGCAGATAAATTTATGACAGAAAAATCAGGTTTACTCAAATCTTTCAAACTACGTAGTATTGCAACCACATTCTAAGTGACCGGGACTGGGGGTGAAGGGCACAGTCTCAAGATGTTTTTGGTGTTAGAAATCTTAATGTAATTATTGAGATATGTCAGTAAAAGAATGTTTGCATTTGAAACTCCAACAATCAAATGCAACTTGCGAATGTGATTAAAACTAAGAGTTAGGTGTGTGTGCTGCCTGTTGCTATGGTAACAAATTACCATAGACTGGGATGGGCAAAGCAATACTCAGTTATTTTCTCCGAGCTTCTGAGAGTCGAAAGTGCTAGCTCAGTCCGATTCAGCCCAGCTCTCTGCTGAGGGTTCACAAGGGAAAGGCCAGCGGTCAACGGGCTGCCTTTCTTAGCAGAGGCTGCGGCAGAACCGGCTTCCTTGCCTTTTCAACGTGGACGTAGGAGTCGTTTCTCCCTCGTGTTCCACGCTGACACTGCATTTCTATGTAGCTCAAGTCCTCACGTTTCAGGTATTTTTTGTTTTGATCCTGTTTTTAAATATTTTGTAAGAATACACTGAGCCCACCTGGGACTGTAATCCAGGAAAATCTCCTTATGTTTAGATGAAGTTCCACTCTCTGTAAGACACTCCTTTTGTCGTGGCATGTGCCAGAAGGGATGACCCTCAGGGCCAGGTCGTAGGGACTGAAATTCAGCCAGGAAGGAATTCAGCAAGGAAGCTCTTGATTTGCTCTCATGTGTAGACATGATCTGCTGTTTTACCTACGCAGGCAGTTCTGGCATCCTTTGGATACTAAATTTTAAATGCGAGGCTCATTCTTATGTAAATGCCCACAAATATCTTTAGAGAAAAAGGTAATCTATTGAAGTAAAAATTTTTAAATATGGATAAGGACAACCGGCTTGGGTCCCCCTCCTGTCCTTCTCTTGGACACGGGCTTTCTTTCCCTTAATAAATAAATTTATTCTGCTCATAACCTCCATTTGTTCCTAAGATTCATTCTTCAGTTTTAGAGAACACAAACTCATTCCACGTACTTTTTAGTTGGGGAGATAATTTTTCCCCTATATAATTTGGAGGTCATCTACCTGAGATCAGTTTTTTACCCTGTGTCATTTGGAAGTTCCCACCAGGATCACTGGATGGAGGTATGAGTTTGCTTTTCATTCATAGATTCTGGATTGGAACTTGGTTAGGTGACAAACTTTTATGCTTCAGATGTTCATATGTCTTTGCCCATTGCTCATGATTGTTTGGACTTTGCCTCATACAGTTTTATCTCATACAGTTTTGTTAAAATTGCTAAAATTGTTTATACTTTGTCTTTTACATGGTTTTGTTAAAATGTTCAACAAAATGTTGTTGGTAAAACTAAGTTAAAACATAAAAATGTTATAAGGTTATGATATTTCTTTTTAATGGGACATTTCATCACTGTTTTGTACTTGTATATGTTGCACTGGAACTAGTTACTAAATGTACTGGTATTCCCTGCTTGACTTTAGACAATAGTGCCAGAGAGTAACTAGAAAGCTTCCTAGTGGATTTTATGTACACTTTTGCAAAACGGGACTTTTAAATCTAGCTCAGACTTAGAAAATATACATGCCAGTATATGAAACATGGGACTCCTTTTGCCAACTAAATAACATT